AATCAATCAATCAATCAATCAATCAATCAATCAATCAATCAATCAATTCAACTTTATTGTCCATAACATTCAATGAAATGGGGATTTGTCTTTGACATCTGGCTTATAAAACAAAATTAAAATGTGATTAAAAACTTCTAAAAAACTTTTAAAACCAAACTTTGCTAAATCAATTAAAAACATTCAGTTAAAATCATTCTAAAATACATGATACATTAAAATATGGAAACATTCCAGCAGACAGTAGTTTGTTATTTGAGGCTGGGTGAGTCACCTTCAACACAGCCTAAGTTGAACAAACCTAAAATTACTCTGGATAATACTCAAGTGTTAGGCTTAGTTCAAGATATGCCTTTCAGGAGAGGCTGCAGTGGGGTTTGGCCATAACTCAGGTGGTAACTCCACTGGGCACTTGGTAGATTGAGACATTCCCATGTGCGTCACAGAAAATATCCCAGTCAGTTGCCTCAAAGCAGCCCTACATTGCCTCCTGTGGCCACAGCCGTACAGTTCTCACAGTCATTGGCTGCCGCTGTACTGCAGGGATGTACTGGGACTTGAGATAAACTAGATTTTTTCAAACAGATTATTTCTTTGTAGATGTTCATGTAACTGACCTGCAACTATTTTCTCTAGAATTTTTGAGATGAAAGTTAGATTAGATATAGGTCTGTAACCGGCTAGGATTCCTGAGTCAAGGTTGTTTCTTAAGTAAAGGTTTAATTACAGAAATCTTAAAGCTCTGTGGTTCATAAACATTTATTAGAGACAATTTTGTCATATCCAAGATGTGGTTATTAATTAAGGGAAATACCTCTTTAAACAGTCTGGTTGGGTTGGGATCTAGCAGGCATGTGGATGGTTTGGATGAAGCTATTGTTTTTGACAATTCAGAGAGTTCAAGAGGACAAAATCAATTCAAACAAAAATCAGGTTCTAGTGACCTTTTTAAAGTTGTCTCGTCTGACACCGAACCAGAGGCAATACTAGGAATGCTGGATGGAATTTTTCCATAATTGAAACAATTTTATTTATAAAGAATTTCATGATGGCATCACTGCTTATAGTTGTAGAATACATGAATCATCCGAGATAGGATTTTTCATTAGACTAGCTATGGTACTGAAAAGGAACCTGGGATTATTTTTATGCTCATCAATTAAAGATGAATAAAATAAAGTTCTAGCATTACGGAACACTTTTTTTGTATGTTAGCAGTAGGGCTGAAATGATTCCTTGAATCATTCGAGGACCTCAATTACAAAAATCCTTGAGGCAAATTTATCTGCCTCAGAGCTTTGTTAAAACATTCAGAGCGCTGTGGTCTAGCCGGAAGGTTTTTGTGCTACATAACGCTAGCGCTTCCGCTAACACTTCTGCTAACACGTATGTGCTAAATTTGTAGCTATGGAGGGAACAGAGATTGCTAGAAGAGCCCCAAAAACAACAAAAACTGTCAAAAGTTTGGGAACATTTTAGGCTAAACAGAAAAGACAACACAGCAAAATGCTTCCACTGCAAAGCAGAACTGAATTAACCACAACAGCACGTTGTGTCTATGTTGCAGCGTCTGAAGAGAAAACACTCGCTCTATGCACCAAACTCATCTGCAGCTGTAACGGATATCATGTTCCCTTTGCAAAATACATTAACCTAAATGTGTGATAATCTGTTGTGTTATAGATATACAATGAGGCATATTTTTGCTAATGTTAAATCTACTGATTAATCATAGTGGCTTCCTGGCAGGGTCTGTACGATGTGTGAGGAAAAAAACAAACTATGCAGGACTTGATGCAAGTTTGTTAATGATAAAAACCCAGCAACAGACTGACGGCATGAGCTGAAACACATTTATTTATTGCTGTACTTCCATCCTCATTTAAATGAGATATTTAGGGTGAATATTTCAAGTGTAAATGTCTTTAAATGAGTTAGTAGGATTTTTTTTTCTTCTTGCTGCTGCTGCTTATGACTTAAAAACAAAGATTAATCTGCATGTATTACTACTGTCATATTTGTTTATAGCAAATCAATCAAGACTAAATAATAATAGTCTGCAGAACTCATTGTACAAACTCAAACTTTACATTATCTATCTATCTTACTCAGTTTCTAACATAAAGATTCCACTCAATTTTCCAATCCATAAAAAGTATTTGCAGCATCTAGATTTTTATGTGATGGTTAAAATAATTCAGTGACAGGGGTTTTTAATTAAAGCATCCTCAAACCTCACCATAAATCAAATACAACTGACACTAATGTTACTTTGATCGCAGCAGGTCATCAGAAAGTGTAGATTGCTTAACAATATTAGATAATTTTATAATATCCAGTGAATTACACTTGAAAATGTATTAAGGAATAACAATGCACAAACAAATAATATTTTTTTTCTTCTTCCCAGTGAATGTCAGAGTCGTACGTTGGACAGCTTCGTCCAAACAGCTCCAGGATGTTGGTTGAGCAGCAGCTGAGTTCACAAACAGCATTTTAAATGTGATCATCGCAGACATGCAGCTGCTGTCCTGGTGGAAGATGATCCACAAGATCCTCTCCACCTTCAATCCAAATGATGTCCTTCCTCCCAGATCCTACTTTGTAAATTCCATTTAGTTTTCCAATCCATAAAAATTATTTTAGTGTTTAGATTTTTATGTGATGTTTAAAAATAATTCAACTTACACAATAAAATATTTTAAAAAGAGGAATTAATTGGGTTGTTTAATGTTCTTTTTTCATGTATTTGTATTACTCATAAAATGAGTACGGTAGTTACTTCAGAACCTGACAAATTTAGCTTTCGATACTCTAATAATTGCCAGAGTAATCTATAGATTACTCAATTACTAAAATTTTTGTTTACATCAGCCCTGGTTAGCAGGCTATCTCTCCAGGATAAGTAAGATTCCTCAACATTAGTGGAGCACCATTTTCCTTCTAGATTCTTAGATGTCTGTTTTAAAGTACGTAATTCAGAATTGAACCAAGGTGTTAATCTCCTTTGATTAATTACTTTCTTTTTCAGTGGAACAGCTTTATTGAGTGAAGTTTGCAAAGTAGTTGTAAAATTATCAACTAGATGACATAAGCCACTGCTCTCTGATGTATTACTCTGCAAGACGAGGAAAAAGATGGAAAATAATCTTTAATTTGGTTACAGCATTTTCTGATAAGCACTTGCTAAGGTGAAATTTACTCTCAGTGACTGTGTTGTCGCTTATTGTAAACTCAAAGGTTATTTAAAAAATGATCAAACAGAACAGGACTTTGAGGATGTATTACTAAGTTAATAATCTTGATGCAATAGGTCAGAACCAGGTCAAGGGTGTGATGATGAGAGTGAGTAGATATTTGGACGTTTTGGGTAAAACCAAAAGACTCTATTAGGTTTTTAAAGGCTATGCTTGAGCTATAACTTGAGCCATCAATTCCAAATGATCTGGTGTGTGTAGAGTTCCAAGCTTTATATAAGAGGCCTCGTTGTAGACTGGAACTATTCGCCCCTCACAGTGGAGGCTCATTAGAGTGCAATGAGATTGTAGTTCTTAAGCATCGGGGAGAGGACTTTTGGGGGACTGGGATGATGGTGGTGGCTTTGATGCATGTGGGGACAACAGTCTTACTCAGTGTGATACTGAAGACATCTATGAAGACGTGTGAGTTCAGCTGTACAGTCTCTCGGTACCTGACCAGGTATGTTGCCTAGAAGCTTTCTGTACATGGATCCTGACTAAAGATCTCCTGCCACTGTCCGAGGACAGTATCATTACATGGTCATCAGAAGGGGGTGGGGTTTTCTGTGCGGCGTGGTGTTGTGCATCTCAAAGCAAGTGAAGAAATCATTCAGCTCATTCAGCAGACATACTTAATTAGATAGCAGTCAATCAAACTAGAGCTTTGTAACTCTAAATGGTAAGAAAGCAGTGAGCACATTTGTTTGTGTTATGAAACTGTCGAACAAGTTCTGCTGTCAAAGTTATCTTCTGATTTATTGTATAATGGTGCGTTTTTTTAAATACCATACCTATATTGTTTAAATGAATAACACTTGAAATTTAAGACAATGAAATATGCTAAAACATATTCTTAATTTTTATTAAAGTAATAAAAAACAAATTTCTGTCAAATGTGTGTTTTATAAAAAACCTTGTAGTATTTTGTAGCTGATATGTTCACTCCGGTTCTTGTCTCCATCCTTGGCAAACACGGGTCCAGGTTCAAGCACCAAAGGGCCTTCCTGTAAATTCAAATCAGTCATTTTTTTTGTACTTTACTATTTCACCAGAAATGTATTTAATTTTTTCTGAAAAATTTAAAAGAAGACCTGCCAAATTTTGTAACGATACAAACAACAACAACAACAATAACAACAACAAAAAACAAGTAGTACTATAACTGTTGTCATCGTTGCTGAATGATGAATGTTTGTAGTTTTCAAGATTAGTGTTTTTCTGGACTGGAATTGAACAGAGAATTAAAGTAAACCATAATCTTTTTTGCTGCAAGATAAGTTAGTAATAGTTACATTGTAGAAAAGAACAGAGGAAGTTTTTTTTTACTGTCTGAGGCAACTCAAAGGACTGACAGATCAAGGAGACAGGAGAGAGACATTTTATCCACCATCAGGAGCAGTGGTGGAGCCAGGGGGTGGCCAATGGTGGCCTTGGATACCGTAGATTATTTTTCAGTCACCCAATAATTCCAGAAAAATATATTTTTAAACAATATAGAATCTTAATGCGGGCAGCACGGTGGCGCAACTGGTAGAGATGCTGCCTCTCAGCGAGTAGGTCCTTGGTTCAAACCCCAGTCCAGGGGCCTTTCTGGGTGGAGTTTGCATGTTCTCTCCGTGCATGCGTGGGTTTTCTCCGGGTGCTCCGGTTTCCTCCCACAGACCAAAAACATGCATGTTAGGCTGATTGGTAACTCTAAATTGTCCCTAGGTGTGAGTGAGAGAGTGAATGGTTGTTTGTCTTGTTTGTCTCTATGTGGCCCTGTGATGGACTTGCGACCCGTCCAGGGTGTACCCCGCCCCTCGCACAGTGATTGCTGGACATGGGCACCAGAGACCCCCGTGATCCAAAATGGAATAAGCGGGTAAAGATAATGGATGGATGGATGGATGAATCTTAATGCATAGTTTCCTCAAATGATAGAGGTAGCAACTTTTTCATATACAAGGTAAACATCCATCCATCCATCCATCCATCTTCTTCCACTTATCTGGGTCGGGTCACGGGGGTAGCAGCCTAAGTAGGCAGGATCAGACTTCCCTCTCCCCAGCCACTTGGGCCAGCTCCTGCGGGGAAATCCCAAGGTGTTCCCAGGCCAGCCAAGAAACATAGTCCCTCCAGCATATCCTGGGTCTTCCTCTGGGTCTCCTCCTGGTGGGACGTGCCCAGAACACCTCACCAGGGAGGTGTCCAGGAGGCATCCTAACCAGATACACAAGCCAACTCAACTGGCTTCTCTCAATGTAGAGAAGCAACGACTCTACTCTGAGTCCCTCCCAAATGACAGAGCTTCTCAACCTATCTCTAAAGGATATCCCAGACACCCTGTGGAGAAAACTCATTTCGGCCACCTGTATCTGTGATTTCTTTCTTTCGGTCACAACCCAAATCTCATGACCATAGATGAGGGAAGGAACGTAGATCGACTGGTAAATTGAGAGCTTCACCTCTTGACTCAGCTCTCTCTTCACCACGACAGACTGGTACAGTGCCGACACTGCACCTAACCACCTATCGATCTCACACTCCATTTTTCCCTCATTCGTGAACAAGATCCCAAGATTGAACAGTTGAACGCCTTCTCCAAGTCCACAAAGCACATGCAGGCTGGTTGTGCAAACTCCTCCGCACCTTCCAGGACCCTGCTGATGGTGTAGAGCTGGTCCACTGTTCCACAACCAAGACGAAAACCACACTGCTCCTCCTGAATCCAAGGCTCGACTATCCGACAGACCCTCCTCACCAGAACTCTTGAATGGACCTTACCAGGGAGGCTTAAGAGCATGATCCCCTTGTAGTTGGAACATACTGTATGGTCCCCCTTTTTGAATAGGGGGACCACCACCCCAGTCTGCCAATCCAGGGGAACTGCCCCTGATGTCCATGCAAAATTGCAGAGTCATGTAAGCCAACACAACCCCACAATATCCAGAGCCTTAAGGAAATCTGGGTGAATCTCATCCACCCCTGGGGCCCTGCCACCAAGAAGCTTTTTAACCACCTCGGTGATCTCAGCACCAGAGATTGGAGAGCCCAACCCAAAGCCCCTGGCTCTGCTTCCTCAGTGGAAGGTGTGCTGGTGGGATTGAGGAGGTCTTCAAAATATTCTGCCCACTGACCCATGACATCCTGAGTTGAGATCAGCAGCACACCACCTCCACTATAAATAGTGTTGGTGGCGTACCGCTTTCCCACCACTGAGATGCCGGATGGTAGACCAGAATCGCCTCAAAGCCATACAGAAGTCATTCTCCAGGGCCTCTCTGAAATTCCCATGCCAGAGTTTTTGCCTCAGCAACCACTCTAGCTGCATGTTGTTTGGACTGCCAGTACCAATCAGCTGCTTCTGGGGTCCCACAGGCCAAAAAGGCCCGATATGACTCCTTCAGCCTGACAGCATCCCTCACCACCAGTGTTCACCACCGGGTTTGAGGGTTACCACCACGACAGGCACCAACAACCTTGGAGCCACAGCTCCGATAAACCGCATCGACAATGGAGGTGCGAAACATGGCCCACTCGGACTCAATGTCCCCCACCTCCCCCGGAATGTGTTCAAATTCTCCAGGAGGTGGGAGTTAAAGTTCCATCTCATGGGAGACTCTGCCAGACGTTCCCAGCAGACCCTCACAATACGTTTGGGTCTGCCAGGTCTGACCGGCATCCTCCCCCACCATCGGAGCCAACTCACCACCAGGTAGTGGTAATGGGACAGCTCTGCCCCACTCTTCACCTGAGTGTCCAAGACATGCAGCCGTAGACCAGATGAGATGACAACAAAGTTGATCATTGAACAGCAGCCTATGGTGTCATGGTGCAAAGAGCACATACAGATACCCTTTTGGTTGAACATGGTGTCCGTTATGGACAATCGATGACAAGCACAGAAGTCCAATAACAGAATACCAGATCAAGGCAGCCATTCTTCACGACCACACCCCTCCAAGTCTCACTGTCTTTGCCCACAAGAGCGTTGAAGTCCCCCAGTAAAACAAGGGAGTCCCCAGGAGGTGCACTCTTCCGTACCCCCTCCAAGGACTCCAAAAGGGTGGATAATCTGAACTGCTGTTTGGCGCATAAGCACAAACAACAGTCAGACACCCCCCCCCCACACACACACACACACACACACACACACACGTAGGCGGAGGGAGCCTACCCTCTCGTTCACTGGGGTGAACCCCTACATACATCTCTCCAGAAGTTACAATTGGTCCAGAACTCAGCTGCCCGTGTCATCACTCAAACCTCCTCCTATAACCACATCACTCCAGTCCTGCAGCAGCTCCACTGGCTCCCGGTTAAATCACGCATCGTCTTCAAAATTCTTCTTCTCACTTTCAAAGCTATCCACAACCTTGCCCCTCCGTACCTATCTGACCTCCTACATATCTCCATCCCCTCTCGCTCTCTCAGATCCTCCTCTTCACTACACCCTCTGCCTGCCTCTCCACCATGGGGAGCAGGGCCTTCACCTGCTCTGCCCCTCATCTCTGGAACTCTCTACCCCCTGACTTAAGAAACACCACCTCTCTTTCTATATTCAAGACTGCTCTGAAAACACATCTCTTTAGACTCGATTATCCTTAACTTTGCTGTATGTATTTTATATTATTTACGCATTTTATATTCTGTATGTATTTTATATTCTTTATGTAATTTATTCCTGTTGATCTTTGTTCTTACTGTAAAGTGTCCTTGGGTGTCATGAAAGGCGCTTTTTAAATAAAATTATTATTATTATTATTATTATTATTATTATTATTATTATTATTAT